GATAAAATAAGATTCATCTGATTACAATGAGACTTATACTTAAGTATGGAGAAAAGAACTTAAAGCACGAGATATGATTGATGTCAGTTTAGAGATACCAAAATCTTAAGGTGATTTTGAATGGGTTTAAGCTTAGATTTTGTCAGTAGGAAATGATGAAATTCTTGAACTAAACTTTATCTACGATAAATGGCAACAATAAAAAAGGTTTAGCATGTGGTCTGTCAAAATTGAGTAGTTTGGAATACATACAAAAGATTTATATGAATAAAGAGATAAGGTTCAAATAATGATGCAATTTGATATAAATGACATTATGATTTGGTATAGATCAATCATTTTAGGCATCTAAGAAAGATAGGAATATAATAGTGGAATTATTATTAAAATGGCTTTTATTGGATATAGAGTATACTGTGAGTAAGGGAATAAAGATGATGAAATGGGATCATTCGTCGGTTGGTCATCTAAATTTGATGAATGGATTCCACTAAATTCTTTACGTATTAGGCCATTGCTTACATAAACCTTGAAATAAAGATTATAATATGAAAAAGAAACTTTCATTTTACCGAATTCAGCATTACAATCACTGGAGAATGTAAAATATATTGTTTAAAGTGGAATAGATATCGATGAAACTACAGGTTTAAATGAATCAACCCTATTTATTGCATGCTAATTAGGTAGATATGATATAGTTGAATATTTAATTTCACTTAAAGCTGATATAAATAAGAGAACTTACTACTATATTTCACCTTTGATTGCAGCTATCTAAGGGGAGCATTTCGATATTGTTAGATTATTGGTAGAGAATGGTGCAGATGTAAATTTGAATAATAATAATATCTATGCTTCATAGAAAATAAAATAATTGCAAAAAATGTTATAGCTGTTGATTTATGATATTCAAGAATTTAAAAGAATTAAGGATATTTTAAATCATCTTGATGGAAAATATTTGCCAGATAAAATCGAAGCCTCTTATAATAAGATAAATAAGAATATATTCCGCAAAGTTATCACTGAGTATATTTGAATTTTTAAAAATTAATTAGAATAAGCTTACATTTTGATTGACGGGGTTTTGGGGTTTTGGGG